CAGTGCCGGTGTGGAGACCTGAAAAGAAGAGTGCCAGAGGTCCTTTATCCCAGGATGCTGAGCTCAGAAAAGTGGGAAGTCACTACTCTGGCCTATGACAAGCTAATGTTAGAGAAGGGCTGAAAACAATGATAAGAAAATAGGATTTGCTTGGATAAAGCAAGGAACCTACAAAACTGTTCTATAATGTATTAATAAAATGAGCCAGTATTTTTCTAGTGCTGCCAAGTAAACATTGACCATTGGGAAGTCACTGCTGATTCTCCTGAATCCACAGTGTCAGCTTAGTTATCTGAAAGAGGGATATTATCTAATTTACTTACAGGAAGGGAGCTAAATACTGGAAGAAGTGGTTGTTTAAGTTGGAACTTTATGTCTAATTTCACATGTTGGTACTTTTTACCACCTTTTCCTTTTGATAGGGTGGCTTATACCTTCCATGAGACACTTTCTTCATGGAGCGTCAGAGGCACCACCTTCTTTTTGTTATTCTTCCCTTCTGGCTACTTCTTCTCTATCTCCTTTCCTGACCCCCAAATTTTGGAGTATCCCAGGGCTCTCTCCTCAGATTCTTTATCTTTTCATTTAACTCACTCCCTAAGTGATCTCATACTGTCCCATGGCTTTAAATAATTGTCTGAATAATGGTGACTCCCATATTTATATCCTTTGTAACAACAGCCCTGAGTGAATCCTTTCTAAACGCTAGGCTCATTTACTAAGCTTCCATTCGCCATCTCCATTGGATGTCTAGAAGGCACTCGTCTGTAGATACCGTTACTTAACAAGCCCAAAAGTGGGCTCCAGATTACAATTCCCTCAATCTACTCTTCCTTCCCCTTTGCTGAGGTAAATAACAGCTGTATCCTTGCATTTCCTCAAGTCAAACACTTTGGAGTCATCCTGACTCCCTTATGTTCTGCACGTCTATAATGCAAACCATCGGTCCATCCTACAGAGTATCTCCAGACTTGAATTGTGGCTCACAACTATTTCTCCCGTCCTAGTCCAAGTCACCACTTTCTGTTGTCTGGAAAATTGTAATGGCTTCCTAATCAATCTTCATCCCTATTACTCTTTATTTTGTTCTCAAAGTAGCAGCCAGGCGATTCTTTCAGAACTTGTCACGTCGCTTAGAACCATTCGATTGGTTCCCATCTCACAGAATAAAATGAGATCTGTAACATGCCCCACAAGGCTCTCTATGTAACTAGAATATTTCTCTGGCATTTCCCATTCTTGATCGTTTCTAGTAACACGAGCCTGTTGTTGTTCCTCATTCTCCGACCTCTAGGTTTTTGTACTTTTTAATTCTTCTCCATGGAATACCGTACCCCAGATATTCACTATGGCTCACTCTCTTACTTTATTCCATTGTCTGCTAAAATGTCACCTTATCACAGAGGCCTTGCTTATCTAAAATATTTTAGCCCACACTTCCATCATTCCCTTTCTCTTCGTCTTATTTATTATATTATTAATACTAGTTTGTATTCTACTGGAATTTAAGCTTCATGTGAACATGAATGTTGTCTTTGTTTACTGGGGTAAGTGCTTAGAAGCATATAAAGCACATAAAGACATAATAAAGGCCAGGCGCGGTGGCTCACGCCTGTAATCCTAGCACTCTGGGAGGCCGAGGCGGGTGGATTGCTCAAGGTCAGGAGTTCGAGACTAGCCTGACCAAGAGCGAGACCCTGTCTCTACTAAAAAATAGACAGAAATGATTTGGACAACTAAAAAAATATATATAGAAAAAATTAGCCGGGCATGGTGGCACATGCCTGTAGTCCCAGCTACTTGGGAGGCTGAGGCAGGAGGATTGCTTGAGCCCAGGAATCTAAGGTTGCTGTGAGCTAGGCTGACGCCACGGCACTCTAGCCTGGGCAACAGAGTGAGACTCTGTCTCAAAATAAAAAAAAGAAAAAAAGACACAATAAATATTGAATGAATGAATAAATGAATGGAGATCTTATTTTATTGTAAGAACTCCTAGTGTGTAGTCTAAATATCAGTTCACTGTTCCCATAAAAGTCACTCACTAACATTAAAACTGAAAGAAAAAGAAAAGTCACTTCCTTTCAGGAAGAGGGGAGAACATACAGGAATGTTACATTCATGTTCTAATTACCCATTGCGAATTTGACCCTCAGCATTCTGTGACCTTCGCTGCCCTCCAGCTCCTCCACCTGCTACCACCCACCTGGCTAAAGCTTGGACGCTGCTTCTTCCACACCACCTCCAGCAGTGGGGTGACAGTGAGGCCACTCACCCTTCCTGCCATTTTATCACCTCTTTAGTCTCCACTGCGCTGTCACACAAGGCAGTGCAAGCGCATCAGTTCTGACTGAGTTTTTGAGGTAAAAAAAAAAAATTACAGCATAGATAGGGAAATATTAAAATTGTACATGAATTATTTCTTCTCCATAGTCCCAGGGAAAAGTACTTAAGTTGAGCACTTCACAGAAAGTCACTTATTCCTAACCTTGTACGTCTTTACATGGCACTGTGCTTGTCTCATCTCTCCCCTGAGAAGTTGCTGGTTTCACTCCAAGATCCACCTCCCTTTCTCCACAAGTACATCTCTCAAAGTCTGAGTACAGGATGACACTGGAGCTTTCAGCAGGACTGTCCATGGTTCTCCTTGGGTCTTGAGTTCCTCAAAGCAGTCCATGGTGGACACAGGACACATGTCCTTAAGATCTGTCCGGATGTTAATTCTTCAAATTCTCTATTGAATGGTTGACTGTTGTTACATCTCTCTCTCTTTCTCTCTTTCACATCTCCCAAAGATAATCGTTTTTTTCCTAATACATGGTAAAATCTAAATCCTTAAGGAGGAAATTAAATATTTGCCCCAGATTATCCAAGCTGGCCTCTTTCACAGTGGAGTTAGTGCATTATTACGAAGAACGTTATTAACTACTTGTCTTTATACCTTGATGGTTGATTTGTTTTTCTTTCAACACTTTAAACATCACTGTTCATTATCTTCTGGCTTACATAGTTTCTGATGAAAAGTCTGTTACCTTTTAATTTTGTTGTTCTTTATTTATTGTGTCTTCTTTCTTTGGACACTTTAAAATGTTTTCCTTTATGATTGTTTTTTAGCAATTTGATTATGATTTGCTTGGCATGGTTTTCGTTATGTTTCTTCTGCTTGGGGTTCATTGAGCTTCTTAGATTTGTAAATTATAGTTGTCAAAAATTTGAAATGTTTCAGCTATTATTCCTTAAAATATTTTCCTGCCCATCCGTATCTCTAATGACATTTATCTCAGGTTGCTTTATATTATGTTATAGGTCACTGACACTCTGTTCATTTCTTTTTACAGTCTTATTTATTCTACATACTTCATTTCAGATGTTTACCATTGTTATGTTAATTAAGTTCCATGATCTTTTCTTTTGCAGTATCTTACCATCTGTTAATCCCATACAGTATATTTTTTATTTAAAGCATATATTTTTGTTGCTAGAAGGTCCATTTGGATATTTTTTATATCTTCTACTTCTCTCCTTGTCATGCTGTTTTCTCCTACCTTTTTGAACACTTGGAGTATATTTAATTAACTGTTTCCAAAATCATTTCTGAGACTGTCTCTTTTGAACAGATTTTTCTTGCTTTTGAGTCACAATTTTCCTGTTTCTTCTAGGCCTGGTACTTTTTTAGTAGATGCAGGATGTAAGTGTCACGGATGTTGGATTTTATTGTATTCTTTTAGTTTTAGACTTTATTATGGCATGTGGTTGGTTGCTTAGAAAAACAAGTTTTCAGAATTTGTTTTTAAGCTTTGTTAAGGTCGTTCCAGAGTGGTATTTAACATAAGATAATACAATACCACTACTAAGGCAATACCCTTTTAAGGACTCCGCGCAGTGCTCCATGTGCTAAAAGGTCTTTACGTTCTTTCTTGTGGGAGCACAAACTTACACGTCTTGTGTGAGCTCTAGGCCTTATTCAGCTTATTGCTCTTTGACTTTCTTTTCATCATCTTTTTCCAACCTCAGTAGTTTCTTCTCATACATGCAGAGATCAGTACTCTGCCAGATATTCAAAAAGACCCCTAGTTAGATCCTGGAGTACTTTTGCTCTCTCTCTCTGTGAAACTCCCTCCTCTCTGATATTCTTCCCTACAAATTCTAGTCTCTTTTAGCTTGCTTGAACTTCGATCTCTGTCTCCTTAATTAAGTAATACTGTCAGGTCTTGGTGGGTTTTCCCTTCCTTGCGCTGTGGCATAGAAACTGCCATAGGCAGTAAACTAAAGCAATCATAGGGCTCACCTCGTTTTCTTCCCTTTCACTTGGGGATCTTTGTCCTACACTGTGGATTTTGCCCGGTTTGGGGGTTATTTAGGGAAGGAGGATAACACTGACTTTCATTACTTTATCATGGCCAGGAATGGAGGTTCTAGTTTGTTAAAAGTTTGACAAAGTCTCAGTTGTGAGAAATTCTGAAGCTGCACACAAATTAGCAAAATTGCTTTTTCTTAGAATCACTGCTTAATTTGACCTGAATCAGTAAATATTGGGTGTGTCCTATTTCGTAGACATCGATACTCTCCTGGAATAAATTATCTTTAGCATTTATCAGAACATAGGATTAAATTTGCACCATAAATATTACAGAAGAATTGATGTGGTATTCAAGTGGATTATAACAACACCTGGAGTACTCCAGATTTCATTTGAAATAAAATACAGTTAAGATGTTTCAAGAACACCAGTGGGGAAAAAATCTAATTATTTGATATGAACATCAGATTGTTCTTAGTCATTCATTCACTCATTCAAGCAACAAACATTGAGGATTCAAAGATGAATAAGACATGGTTCCTGCTTTTTGTGAAGACTGTAGTCTATAAGGGGAGACAGACATGCAAAGGATCCATGGTAATATAATAGGATATAGTAGGATTACAGGTTAAGGACGTTAGTCGAGAGATATTTAAAGTGCCACAGAAACATAGGGAAAGGTAGAAAGAGCAGGAAATCGAATCTGCTTTATGGAAGGCATCACCTTCCATTGTCTATTTACTTATTCGGTTAACATTATCAGGCACCATCATTGTGCACCGTGCTAAGGCCAAGCAATAGTTTCTCCTCTAGGAGAGAGAAGGCTAATGAGCAATCACAATTCAGTGCAGGAGAATCTACAGCTGAGATGTGAACAGGGAACCAGAGAAATGGAAAGGACAGGCAAGGGGCTTATAGAACATTGTCATTCAGGAAATGTCATGTAATAGAGTGTGGCAAGAGCATGGATGTCACATGGGGCTCTGGGCGAGAGGAGGCTGCAGGGATAAGTAGGGAATGGATCTGCAAGGGCTGGCTGCATTCCGCGATGGTGTTTGGAAAGGAATGGGATGCATTGAAAGATCCTGCTTATGTGTGTGCGTGTGAAATGAAGAAACAGTGACGGTATATGTTTTAGAAAGTTTATTCCAGGGGTAGAGTGGAGGACAGTGAAACCGGAAGCAAGAGACCAGTATGGAAGCTGAAATGATTAAGTAATGCAGGCAATAAATTAAGAACTACACTTAGGGAGTAGTGCAGGGACTAGAGATAGAGGATACAGGGAGGGATTGGGGAATTACGTAGGAGATCAACAAAAGGCCCTGTTGGCTGACTGAATGTGAAGTGTGATCCAGGGGATTGAGGATTGATGACTCCCAGTTTTCTGGTTCATTGGACTAATTGTATTCATTAAGGGCTATGAATCCTAAAGGGGTTTGCCTACCCTGCAGAGAGCTCAAAACAACCCAATGGGATGCAACAAAAAGTAGCAGAATTTCATTTATATTTTTCTTAGTTTTCTAGTGTCTATTTGTATGTCATAGAAAGTTGGCAATAAACTGATCACTAGTATGCACATATAATTTAAAATAAATGAGTATCAATATATTGTAGGGTATATATTTTATTATCACCTATTTTATTTTTATTTAATATCAAATATTTTATTATCAGAGGTGTGTGATCAAAAATCTTAGGTACTCTTGAGACAAGGATTACAAAAGGAAGAGCAGGTTTAGAGGCTTGGGGGAACTTGAGGTGCCTATGGAACATTCAGGCAGTAATTTTCAGTGGATACTGGAGTCTAGACCCAGGCAGGACTGTCCAATAGAGCTTTCTGTGATCATGGAAATGTTTTAAATATGCACTGTGCAATGTGGTAGCCAAAAACCACATATGGCTATTAAGCACTTGAAATATAACTAGTGTAACTTCTTATTTTGTTTAATTTTAATTTATTTAATTAAATAGCCACATGTAGCTAATGGCTATAGTATTGGAAAGCATAGTTCTAAAACTTAGGGAGGAACTTTCATTTGTTGACTGCTTTCACTGGCTAAGCATTTTACATACATTTTAAAGCAATTTAATCATGATAACTACCCTGCGGAGTTGGTGGTATTAATAAAGAGGAGTATGTTCTTACTCTGTCCTTTTAGTCGTAAAAGATTATATTGCAAAGAAGAGTATGTGACAAAGTAACAAATGTGAGAAGTCATGTTTGCTCA